ACCAAAGGCAGCCTTGCTGGATTGCCGTGCCATCACAGCGCTGTTCTGTGGCACGTGAGGCAGTGCAGCCTGTCTTCTGGTAAGGACATGGTTTGGTCATGGTGTGATGGGAAGGGGCAGTGCCTTAGTCCACAGCTGGGGAGCAGAGCCTCTCAGGACGGGCTGATGTGATGCTGTGTACCTCTTCCTGCTGCCCAGAAAGAACTGCTGTGGTCTGAGCGGAGGAGGGAAGTCGCTTGCGTTGCCGCTGAGAGGGAGAGCGGTCCCCTGGCTGGCTGCACTGTGGCTCCTGCTCCGGCTCCAGAGCAGCTTGTGGGTTTCTGTGGCAGGGTGGGCAGCAGCCATTCCAGGAAGGGGGCTGCCAGGCCTGCAGCAAAGGGGAGCAAACGGGCTTGGGGTGAGGGGGTAGGCGGCAGTGGATTAGCAGAACAGAGAGGAAGGAACGTGTGTCCTTGTACGCTCCTGGCTGGTGTGCTTCATCCCCAACAGGGTCCCTGCCGCCTCCATGGGGAGGGAGGACAGGGTTGTCTGAAAGAAGGTATGAGGCAGTGTGATCAGTGAGAGGAATGGCTAAGGGATGCCAAAACTAGAGGAAGGGAGGTGAGAAAGGCTTTCTATGTCTGCGGTGAAGTGTACTGTTGTGAGATCCCAGGAAGGTATTTCAAGATAGTTTCCCTCTGGCTGCACAGCCCCTGCCTCTACTGTTTGTGGCTTCCCATGCCAGATGCAGTGTGTCAGCGAGTTGGAGTGACCCACCAACCATCTCTATGTGGCAATGGAGCACTTTGAAACGGGCGAGATGCTGCAGTTCTGCTGTGCATGGGTGAGTTAGAGGGCCGCTGGTGGGGCCCTGGGAGGAGAGGACCGTGGTGTGCCAGCTTCTGGGCCAGGCCCAGCAGAAAGGCTTTGCTGTGGTCTGTGTGCTCTCTGCCAAGGGAAACAAGCCAGTTCTTGCTGTGCTGCCTCCCAAGCAGGCTCCAGATCTGAACATTTCTGTTTCATGTTGCTGAGTGGCACACAAATCAGAGTGATTGGTTTCTACAAGGGTTCAAGGAAACAGAAGTTGTGAAACATCCAAATATTTTTAGTTGGTGAAGCTGGGCTTTCCCGCTCTGTGCACGAGTTAATGACTTGAGCTCTGAGTCGGGTGCGCTGCACCTCATCTTGTAGGCACTCTGGTCTGGCTCTGCGTGGCTGCTCTGGGACCAGCGTCTCTCCTTCGGTCTGTATAGTGGATCCCAACTTTGCTTCTCTGTTGCCCCGTGTGCACAGGCCATTTTCATTGTTGTCTATGGAAGGAGAGGAGTGTATCAGTGTGGTGTTGTGCGATCCGAGGCTGAGGAGAAAAATCTGCCCTTTCCTGAAGAAGAGTCCTTTTTGCTCCACAGCCCTATTCATTTTCTACATAAAAAGTAAATGACTCAGGAGCACTTCTGTTACACTTGGTCTAAACATTATGAATCAAAGTTTCCCCTTTTACTGTAGATTCTGTGTATGCAGTAAAAAGTGAAGAGGGAATTTTTGCCATCTCACATATTGGGAGAAGTGATAACTGTTGCAGAATGGTGTAACACTTGGCATTGTATCTTCATAGTGATGGTAATGGCTCTGTAGAAATTTTAATTTCTACTTTCTGTGTGGTTGTAGACTGATGTTATGTTTTGGCAACAAATGATTCAAAAATGTTTAACCTTATAAAACACGATTTAACTTCTGAAATACTAATTAGCATTAATGGGATGACTTAATGTCACCTACATGAGATAAGCATAAGGATCTTTTTCATGATTGTAAATTAATGTAAAATGTTTCAGACTGTTACTCTTAATAAGAGAAATAAACCAGTGAACTTTTAGTTGCATGAAAATCTTGGGTAATATTTTTCGTTGTCTTTGCTGTGCTAAATAATAGTTTTGTGACAAAATTAAATGTTGTGTAACAAGTTATCGCGCATCAGATAGACTTTATCCTGGGAACATCTGCTTACCATAGCATTCAGTTTCATGTAATATATTATTAACCTACCTCTATACCCAGAAAGGTACAATTCTTCATATATTTAGTGGTGCACATATTTCTAGCTAGTATAATACCAGAATTATCCTGGTATTAATTCCAATAATTATGCCAAAAGTGTCTCCTGTATGATGAGCTGGAGTCAGTTGGCCTGTTGTAACCAGCTGTATGAAGACAAGATAAACTACTTAAACTAACTCCAAATTATTTTATTACTTTGTAGATGAATTGTTTTATTACTTTGTAGATGAATTATTTTTTCTAAAAAAAAAAAGCAAAGAACCCCAAAAGTCCTTTGCTTAAACTTAAAAATAATTTTAAAAACCCAAAACAAAACAGCACGGTGAAAATCATGTGTCTTAACACACGAGTTCCCAGAATATTTTAAGATTACACCACAGTTTCATCAGAGCTATTCATTAAATCCACTGTCTTAATTTCTTAGAATTAAAAAATAGAATTGGGTCATAGGAAATGATAAGTGAATTCATCTGTAATATCTTTAATATGTTTTTCTCTATTTGTTTCTGTGATATCACGTTGAGATTATTAGTTGTAGTCATTCTATCAAGCATTTATAAAAGTAATCCAAATATCTTCTCCTTAATTTATTCAGTTGTTTCTTTGACCTTTAGCTTCCTTTGATCACAGTGACAAGGTTTGATTTGTATTAAACTGAATGTAGCCCTCTATGTTCATTTAGTGCAGTTTTGGAAGACATAACTGCATAATTCAGCTGTTAGCTGTGGAAAGCTGACATTGGTTTCTATGGAAAAGACAGCAAAGTGACATACAAGGAATACAGAGGTCATGGAAAAGTGTGATGACTATCGGCTAATCACAGCAAAAAAATATTATTCAAATATTCTTCCTGATATTGTGAATGCTGCCACCTGCTAGACTGCAGTGATGGACACATGAGCATTCAGATACTCTCCAGGACGGGGAATGTCAATATGAACTATCTAATCTTGTGAACTCCCAAAACAGTGGGAGCTGAAATTCTGACTGGGACCTTTGAGCATTTACTTAACAGAAATAAGTAATAGCAGAATATAGAGAGCAAGATTTAAAGCTTATTTAAACCCAAGGAATAGGAAGAGGTCTGATGCAGGTAAGAAGGAAGGAATGGTATTAAGATAATCCTTGGGAACAGAATGCAAGGATAGTGGCCCACAAATATTTCTGAATTAAACAAACTGAAATGCAAATGCTTTTTCTATCATGCATATAGATGACATCCTGTAAATGCAACAGATGCTGACTGTAAAACCTGTCACAACAAAAATGTACATAATATTCCTATCTTCGTTTTAATACCGCTCCATTCAAACTTT